TTTATTATTATTATTAAATATTAGAATTTAATTATTTTACAGATACTATTTTAATCTGTATATTTTTGTGATTTCAAATATAAAATTTATTTATTTTTTTGACATATAAATTTGTACAGTTAAAAACTTCACAATCCAAAATTTAAAAGAAAAAAAATTAAATCTAAATTTTTATGGTAATTTTAAAAAATTTTATGATTCATCTTTAAGTTATTTTTCATAAATTCACTCTCTATAAAAAAATTTATTTAACCGATCATACTAGTGAAAACATAGGTAAAATAAATAATAATAATAATAGTAATAATAATAATAATAATAATAATAATAATAATAATAATAATAATAATAATAATAATAATAATAATAATAATAATAATAATAATAATAATAATTTTAGGGTATTATAAAAAAAACTTGGAGAAGAATGAAAATTATCAATGTATATTTGTGCGTGCTTTCATTGCAATGAGACTACGTAGGCTTTATATCGTGACCATAATGCTACTTAACTAGAATTGACATGCATGTAGATGATCATTTTAATTTTATCATTATAACAGATTTTTCACTTTTAAAAATTCTGTTATGACAACAAGTTACTTTCACTTATAACCAACATTATATAACAATAAACCATATGCACACATAAAATATTGTTGCAATCTGCTCTAAACTAAGAAGCATCAACATACTGATGCCTGCCTGCAAGCTTAATCTTAAAAAGTTTCATAACATAAAGGCTGCATAACATTAGTGAAATCCTCCTTCTCTTCAAAGCACCTCCAAGCATTCATGAGATCCTCTTCCTCTACGTTTCGCGACATATTTGCGAGATCCTTTAAAGTAATAGAATCTGTTTCTTCAACCGAAAAGTCAATCGAACCAATGTCATCATAGAAATTATAATCCATGATGTTTGTGTCTTCCAAAGAAGTAGATTCAACAATAATTGGCTCTGTCTGTTGTGAGCTCATTTGAGTATTTTGATTTGTGTTGTGAGACTCCAGTACCGGCAAGGAACTGTGAGGGAATAGAAGTGAGTGAGGTTCCGTTATATGCCAATGATAATCCCAAATGCTTGTGCTTTTGGAAGAATTAGCAGGGGTTGGAAATCCAAGTGGAGATGGAAATAAAGTAGGGGTATGATGATAGATAGGATAGGTGGATGGTGGTGGATGGATGTTGATATTTTGAGATTGAATTAGGGTTGAAGGAGCAACTCCAATTCCACTCATGTTCGATTGATGGACTACAGGCTTAGCAGGGGTTGGAAATCCAAGTGGAGATGGAAATAAAGTAGAGGTATCATGATAGATAGGATAGGTGGATGGTGGTGGATGGATGTTGATATTTTGAGATTGAATTGGGGTTGAAGGAGCAACTCCAACTCCACTCATGTTGGAGTAAGTTTCTGTGTGAGATTGATGAACTACATGCTTAATGTTAGGGAGGAGTAAAGGTGAGGTTTGGTTTACAGGAAAGTTGTAGGACTGTGGATGAATGTTAAAGTAGGTTTGAGATTGAGTAGGCTCAAGAATCATCCTTGAAGAAACTTTGTCGTTAGCCTTTTTCTTACTGAGTCTGTATTTCTGCATCACAATCAAAATTCATCACTTTAATCAGTGCCTTTGGTCAACCATGGATGATCACAAAATAACGACAATATTTATCATGAATATAGATATATATGTGTGCAGACAGGACATTGTTCATCAAGATTTATCAAGAACATTCAAAAAGAATCATCAAAGATTTATCAATAATCATCAAGAATTGTGAACAGCATTGATAAAGAATTATCAAGAATTATCAAGAAACTGTGATAAAGAATATGCATGCATGCTGCTCATGAGAAAATATTCATCAAGATTTATCAAGAACAGTGATAAAGAATATACACGCATGCATGCTGCTCATGAGAAAATATTCATCAAGATTTATCAAGAACAGTGATAAAGAATATACATGCATGCTGCTCATGGGAAAATATTCATGAAGATTTATCAATAACCATCAAGATTTGTGAACAACATTGATAAAGAATGATCAAGAATTATCAAGAACTGTGATGAAGAATGATCAAGAATTGTGAAGAACAATACCTGGAGATGGCTTGCGACGTGTTCCTTAGTAATTCCTTCAACATTCATCAAAGCGGCTATTTTTCTCGGAACAGCCTCTGCAAACAACAAACAATCTTTTATTAATTATAAATTAAACAATTGATGGAGAAACAACAAGTATATCCTACTGTTTGTAAAAATCAACATACCGTGTAAGCCAAGAAAATTAACAGCATCGAGAAACTTTGCATGAAGGTGAGGAGTCCAGACGACACGTGGTTTCTTATGAGACAAAGAGGCATTGTCATCAGCATATTGTTCTCTCTTCCTTTTATCCATTCTGCTAATCAGCAATCGAAGGGAAAGTGTAAAATATATAGAATCAAATATTATATATATATAGCTTGTTTGAGTGAGAGTGATGTCATCTGTAGAGTGATTGTGTCATTAAATCCACCGACTTAAGATAAAATCTAATATCTATATAGACAGCTTTGGGTGAGTGAGTGATCTTATGTATAGACAGGATAAAAATAGTGTGGGAGATTCAATATATTTTAGACTTCTACATCAAATTTTATAAATTAAATATTGGGAATTTTTTTAAATAAATCATAATAAATAAATAAAAAATTAGTCGGAGATGATGTATTTTTTTTTGTAAATAATGAAAACAATTCTTTTATGTTTTTTATTATTTTAAATACATGGAAAATTTGTTTTTCATGTATTATAAAACAAAACTTTTAGCATAAGATAATTGACATATATTTTACCATTTTATTAATAAATTAGAGATAAGCTTTTGATAGAAGAAAGTAACTCCACAAGGAAATATGAGATGGATCAATGTGATTATACTTCGGATGTGATGCATTAAATTATTTAGTAGGTGCATACATGTTTCTGTAAGGTAAATATTCAAAAGTTTAAGTTAGTGAGAGAATAAAAAATTATGAGTAATGGAAATGGATTTGAATTTCTTATAAAATAGTGAGCTTATCTCTTTCTATATAAAATGTGATTTAACCGCTTCGCCTGGAATGTGAGTGTCATGTTGGGATCGTTCGATTGATCGAGACAGCGTGTTACGAGCTAAGGACTAAAGTTAATTGTTTGTGTTGAAGAGAACAAAGATTCTCCTTTCCCGCATGTGTTCTCCAATAGCTTAGCTCTTGGGCCTCTCTTTCTAGGCCTTCTCGGTGGTCCAGAACAGTTTTCTCCATGCTCTTTAGGTCAAGCTCTTTATAGTGTATTCCTATAGACTAGCCCACGTTTAGTTCAAGCGAAGGATAGTCATGGAACACCACTAGTGTTGGGAACTTGTGCATTAAATGCATTTTTGTGTCATACATCTTTTCGTTGAGGAGCCCTTTAGGCGTGCCCCCTCGCATGCCATCAATGATGACCCTCTGGCCCTAGGATACCTTGAGTATTTGGGACGACTTTTAAGGAGATCTAGATCATTGGTAGATGATAACCCTATTTCATCACCGTCTGAGGAGGAGAGGATCTGACCTCTTATTCGAAGTCAAAGTTCTCAAGGAAGGGGAGACCGTCACCTGGTTTATCCCAAGTTTCCGCAAGATATCGAAGGGGGTCATATGTTCCAAGAGGCATGGCTTCTGCTTTAGGGACCCCACCTCCAGTCTTCATAACTCTCCCAAGATCACGTACTTGTTAGCCTATAATTTTTATTTGAGAAAAAAATAGTTAATTGAATGCTGCATTTGGAAAATGTTAAGTGTTAGCATTGATTGACACAAGTCGACGGGAATGGATACGTCGATTCGAATAGCGTCTTGAAATATGGTTTTGAAAATTTTCATGAGCAGATCTTGAAACATAGTTTGGAGAAGTCTCAAGAACAGATCTAATTGATCTCTCAACACCGTGTTGAAGTTGAAGTGTTTAACGAACTTCAAAGACTTAGAAGATTTTGGAAACTAAAGACTTGAGAGGGGTCTTAGCGCTTTTAACAGCCACCTTCGATGAGCAGGAAATTATTAGCCGCTGAGAGAAGTTATGAACGTGGGATAATGGTTTTCAGCAGTTTGTAAGTTTTGACAACGTGGTAGTGCTTCAGAAGACTAAGTTGCATGTTCTTGAAGACGTGTCTATTTTCTAGGAACAAGTTGTCGGAGACGGTTATCTTTAGTTAAGTATATTTAGCAGATTCATACGTTGTAATCAGGGTCGTAAAATTTATATATTTTCTCTATATAACTAAAGTACTCGAGTCAAAGTGTGAAACAATTTGTGAGTAACATGTGAGTCTGTGTCATTTTTCTTTATTTGTCTTTATTGTTTCCTTAATTAAAACACTTTATAATTCTTGTCATTTTCGTGCTTGTCATTTGCTACTTTTCGTTTAATGTCATTTATTGTTGTATTCATTTATTTTAATTCAAGCTTTTGCGTATATAAAGTTTGTTTTTACTTTTTCTGCACACATACATTCATAGTCACTTCACGCACATACTTTCGTGTACACGTGTTTTGCACAAATTGCTTCTTAGATTTTTTGAGTTAATCTCACAAACTATTTAAACCTCGTGATTGTTTTCTAAAACATCTGCAAACAAATCGGCACACCCGGTGGGACATTTTTGTGCAAATATATATCTTATTCCTATTTTTTCATAAAATATTTTCAATGTATGAAGTCATATGTGTTTAAGAAGTGGTAGCATTTAGTAGAAATGGTTAATCCAAAAAATACTTCTCGTGCCTGAAATGATGCTCAAGACTTAGAAACACCGATCACTTCGACGGTGGGTACAATAAGGACATCAAACCCTATTGGAGTTACAAGCTCAATCTTAACTCCAGTAGCGAATTCGATGTCTATACCAGGAGTAGTAGTTTCTTTACTAACAGTAACAAACATCCCAACTACACCCAGGCCTACTTTGGTTGTTGTAGGGGACCCTTCGCCCCCTTATGTCCCAAGTTTTACCCTACCCTTAGTTACTAGGGATTACCCATATGGCATGCTAACTACCATGATGGCAGGGTTAGAAAAGTCACACTTCCACATTTGTAAACAATGTTGTGATGATAGAGTCACCCCTAAATCCATATTTGGCGTCAGGATTTGGCATAAGCGACCCTAGTCGGATGGCACAACCACAAGGAGGAGTTGGATATGTTCCTCTAGAAATGTCAGCCTTAACTACGGATTCTCTGGTGTCCATGAGGCAAAATACAGATGAGAGTAAGCAAAAGATGGTGAACATGTTAATACAACAGATAGGTATTGTGTTTCATCCATTGATTTATAACACAATCCCGATGTACCAACAATTTGTGCGCCAGATGGGTAGAATTGTTAATATTTTTGGGGCGCTGGAGTCGACGTATAATAACCAAATTCTTGTCGAACAACCCTCACTAAGAGTAATCGAAGGAAACCAAGTTCAAAATGGGCCAAGAAAGAATTATGGTTCAAAGGGAACAGGATGTCAACCAAGTACTAAGAAATGTCCAACAAAACCACTTTGGGAGGCAAAATGATATAACGAATGTGGTTGAATAGATTTTGGCCTAAAATGGCCTTAACGTTGGGCTTCATAGGCCTAATTTTGTATCCCCTCTGTCGGAATATGTCTGGAAGACATAACTTCCCAGGGGATAGGAAGTCCTTTAATTTACCAAGTTTGCAGGTAACACCAACGAGTCCACAGTCAAGCATGTTGCTAGGTATCAGACTGAGGCTGGTGATATAGCCAATAACAAAAACTTAAAATGAAATATTTTCCCCGTTCTTTGACAAATTACACTTTTACGTGGTTCACCACATTGCCTCCACATTCCATATTTAATTAGAACTAACTTAAAAGGGTGTTCCATGAACAATTATATATGGGTCAATGTAAGATTAGTCTAAAAGAATTGGTCGTTGTGAGTGTTGCAACCTAATTTTTGACCTTAAGACCCCACCTCTTTGTGCATTATCTTGCATGATCACGTGCGTGTATTATGACTAACCAGTTTACGCAGGTACAATAATTTCAAGGGGGGATGGCAGTCTTTCTCACGGTCACATTTCAAGATCAATCTCAGGATAACTTTCGGGGCTTTAGCATTACAGTCCTCCGGCACCATTACAAATATTGAAACTACATTTCTTTAAGGCCAGGTTATGAGGTCATTTTTGTTCCTAAAGTTCATTACAGGTGATCCTTAAGAGTCCTACCGAATAAGCCAAAAGCAAAGTTCAAGTCAAGGCGATGTCCTTTTCCTTTCAATGGACTCATGCTATTTCCATCAATTCACTCAAAGTTACGAGTTTTAAGACGTAAATAATTGAAGCTACAGGATTTTGATCTATGCTACACACCACATCTCAGCCATAATGCCTAATGTTTGCCTCTAATCCATGCCTTTTGGTTATTGGTATGATATCGCCGGTAATTCATCATTCATTTAACAGTCTCTACCATAAAACAAAACACATGCACATTTAATCATTAGCAAGAAATTGGATCAACAAAGTCATGATCTTCAAATACCAAACAATAATTTCATATACGAGAGATTAAATAAGCATGGCAAGTTACATATCATTTCTTGCATAAGCTATTTCAAACAGGCGTCCCTAATCAATGATTAATAGTTTGAAGCCCTCAGTGTAATAGGCAAATTAAGAAAAAGTGAGCTTGTTGTGAAGACCCATTTGCTTCCTGCTTTGAGTCACGCGAAGAATGTAAGGAGGCCCTTGACATACGGTTACGACAAAGATTTCCAAGACGCAAAATGACACCCTTGCTAGCATCATTTGAAAAGACCAAGGAGGCTGGAGGTTCGCCATCATGAACGACCTCATTCCTGCAGCTTTGGTGGTAGTCGCACGACATTTCCACACTCCGTTTCTCTCGGCCAATCCATAACCTACAACGAGGGAAAGTCACAACATCATCAAATGCATCCCACAACGATACAACGTGATAAATTAAAACCCGCCAAGCAGAGAATACATTATTTCAGCGTGAACCAGGGGCATATCGAAATGACAGATATTTATTTTATTCGACACAAGTTAAGACATACACATACCAATGGAAGATACAGTGTGGTGACAAACTCCGTCGGCTACGTTTCTCTTGCTGCATCAGCTTCTATGACTGGCCAGCTATTTCTCAACAGCATGGACGGCAGACCAGGCAGCGAAAAATCTGAAGGGAACTGAGCACATTCTCCAGAAGTCTTGCACAGCTATTTATGCGACCAAAGATATTCCCTTTTGATGATCTGCAAAGCAACAACTAGTAATCAAACAAAACTTATTTGAAGATCAACAGCAACAGTTTGAGTCAAATGTTGAAAAACTCTCTAAG